AAAAAAAAAAAAAAAAGACATTGCTGGTTTACAGCTGACTATAGCTTAGCTACTGTACATCACGTTCGTCTGCCATCGCAAAGACGACAGTTCCTGAAAGAAAAAAACTAGCCCCATTTAAACAACAAGAACAATGACCAAATAAAATTTAGATATACGTCACAAAAAAACTGACCTTTTCTCTGATGTATACTGTGTTATGTTTTTTTTTCCCATGGCCTATATGAAATGCCGCATGCATCTAGCTCATGTCTGTGTTATAAAATCAAGCCATCTCGCTACACATTGGTGGCATTCATTATCATCTAATTCTAGTATAACATGATTACCAGTAATTGCACACATAGCATGTTGGATTTTATATTGCATTAAATGTGATTAGATAAAGCAGGGTTTATACTTTATGTGATTATTTTGTAAGACAGAGCAGGCCTCTGCAGCATTGAATTAAAGTACTGTAGTTGTAACACGCTGTTCTTGTAAACTGTATTAACTCGTATGCTAATCTAATAATTGTGAAATGAAAACATTCGATGCTGTTGGTGAGACAACAGTTGCACTGGCTCGCTATAATCTAAAAATGCACTTCAGGGCCTTGTTATTAAGGTTCAATTTGTCTCTAGTTGTGCTCCAAAGGTATTGGTTATTAATGAGCGAACAGATAGACGGCTACAGTAGGATGCATTCAAGCCACACATTGTGCAGGCCAGAACCTCGATTCATGGCAGCTCATGTTATATTTCTGCTGGAAATTATGCGGCTGTAAAAGCTTCCGGCTTCTGTTTATTCCAAGCTACCCGGATGGGGGAAAACAAAAATCTTTAAAATTGTCTTAACGTTTTTGCAATAGGTGTACTCTATTTAATAGTTTCGGGTTGGTGCGTGAATATAGTCCATTGCGCGTTTAGGGTACAAGTGTGTAGGGTGTCCCAACTGACTATATGAACGTGCCATTTCCACATTTGGTCCTGAAAAGTCACAAGTTGGGAGGACGTTTCCACTTTGAAAAGCACCAGCTTCGAGCTATAGAACAGACTTTTGCAAATCCTCATTGTGAATCCACTTTTAAAGAACGAGGGTGTATTACAGTAGCCATATGAATTCTGCCGAGCAACGAATGACGTGACCAGAAAAAGTGCCGTCATATTTGCTTGAATATACTTTTGTTTGAAATTTCTCACCATGAATCACAAACATGTTTGACACTGCTGGTGGGAAAGAAATTGTTGAAAAAAGAAATAAGAGTATGAGATGTAATGCAGGGTTTTTTTATGGCTCAAGAGCGGAAAACTATTCATGTGATTATTTTCTAAAATGTGCCCATAATGCATTCACTGCAGAAGCCAGGCCACCTTTAACACAAGGCCATAATCAGTCATTGCGGTCCAATGGGGGAAACATGGGAACTCTGTGAAATGTGAGTGAAAGTCAATGGAATAGAATGAGTCCTATTGATCTCTGTTGAAATACGCGGTGGGTGTGCAAACACGGCCTGCCAAACTGACCCCATTTAACTAGAATGTGCGTAGGCCCACTTACCGAATCCTCCCTTCGACACACAACCCCGTATTAGAGGTGCTTGATTGTTTTTGAAATGCCATCTGTAAACGAGTAATACATGATTGGAATTCAGAATGAAAGGGGATGGTTTCGATGATCAAATAAAACAAATGGTATCATTATGCGGAGTTACATTCGCCACAATGACAAATTGTTTGATTTTGGTCGTGCTCCAGTAGTTTCATTTACAGTGTATATTGGTGTCATCAACTCGTTCACACGTTGCAATTCTGGTGGTATTTACTCAGAAATGCCCTGCATTCTTTTCAGTAGGCATTTCATTGAGCCATACTCTTGGTCTAGCCAATTACAATGACAAGCATAGATGATGCTGGTTCAGTGATTTCAAGTTTGGATTATTACTATAGTAAAAACCCAACTCATCTACATAAATATATAAAATAGTCAATAAGTATTATAAATATTCCCAAAACAACATGCAATCATGTCAATCGAGATCTCTATAGCTTATATCATGCTTGCCCTTCATCCTAAACAAATAATCAAGCTGTCTGAAGACTGAAAATCGGATTTCATAGAAGGTGAAAATATATATATATATATATATATATATATTTTTTTTTTAATGGGATTGCAACACAATCATCACACAGGTGGCCGTGCGTGCACACTCATGCTGAGATATGCTGGGTTCGTTGTTTCTCTTGCGGTGCCTTTGGGGGTCATGCTTGGCTGTCTTCGGTGACACATGCGTCTCTCTCGCAATGTCTGGTGCTGCAATCTGAAGCAGCAGCAGGTCTGGTTACCTGAGGGGCCTCCCATGAGCTCTGAGTCCATATCAAAGTATACACTTGAACAGAGGGGTCGGAGGAGGGGAGGGGGGTTCTCATCTCGGCTGTCTGGGATGAGAGAAGAGGAGGGGTTGAGACTGTTTTACTTTATTTTGGATTCGGTCAATACAGGGCTAAGGCTTGTTCAAATAAAGAAACTTCAGTAAGTCATAAAAGATGTACGAGCAAAGAAAAAAAGGCGGGTGAGCCGAGGGGAACGCTACCGTTGGCTGAAGCTTACCGAACGGCCTTCGTGAAGAGTATAATGGGTGGAAATCAGCAGGTGTCGACGGTGGTCTGCCATTAATAAACAATGAAGAGGTGATTCATGGCCACATTCGATCACAGGCTGCAAACGAGGTTTATGTAAGGTGAACCTCTGAGGTGTATTTCTTCTTGGCATGTATCCATAGTGATCCCCTCAGCATGTGTGATGGCCCTTCCTTATCGTGGCAAGACAAGAAAGGGGGGAGGGGACAATTTAACAGAGACACCGTACCACGAAACTTCGACGAAGCACTCCCGAATCCCAACTGCCTTTAGTGCGATGAATAAACTCAGTGAATGAATTCAAGAGATTTATGGCAAAGATCCTCCCATGCAGCACTCTCTCGACTATGCGTGTAGTCCATTTACACACACGCAACGGTTATTTTGTGAAGTGTTCAATGAACACAGCACCCAGCTGCATTGTTTTTAACATTGTTTTTAATGTTATTAAATATACTGTACATGAAAAATAATGAAGTTATCAGAAGAATCAAAGACACATTTTTTTTTTTTTTACTGCTGCAAATGGCGTACACGTGAACTATCCCTTGAATTCATGTTCACGCAGGTCTGCATATGCATTCTGACTAAATGTGGTGACCATATGCTTTATCCTGTCGCTGCCGTCCATATTTTTTTGTTATTAAATATACTGTACATGAAAAATAATGAAGTTATCAGAAGAATCAAAGACACATTTTTTTTTTTTTTACTGCTGCAAATGGCGTACACGTGAACTATCCCTTGAATTCATGTTCACGCAGGTCTGCATATGCATTCTGACTAAATTTGGTAACCATATGGTTTATCCTGTCGCTGCCGTCCATATTTTTTTCCCCTCATCTCCTGCTTCCTCTTTTTCATTTGTTCTGGTTTAATCCACATTGCGGTCTCTTAACATCATCGAGCTGCACCATCTGTGTGCGACTGAGCCACCGGAGGGTCATCAGAAGATCCAGACATGTTCCATTAAAAAAAAATAAAAAATAAAAAATGTTTTAGAACCATTGGCCTTCAAGCAACCATGTTAGAAAGGATTTAGCTGAACGTCGTTGAGCGCTTTGCCACCAAAACACCAGCTGGTGTGCATTTCATAGCCCATTTGTTCTTGAGGTGTGTCTCAATTCCCTGAGCGATTAGGGTGGCGAGCAAAAGAAATAGCATCATTTGGAATGCATGGGAACAGACACCAACAACATTAAGACTAACTGAACGGTATCATGTAAAAGCGTAGACTCTCTCTGCTTTGCTCCGAAATTGCATTTGGTGTTTCACTAAAAGAGAGACAGAGAGGAGAATTTGTGGCATCAAGAAGATTGCTGTAATATGAGCATTTATAGCAAGAGGCCTGCGCGGATCCATTCCTCATCTCCCAGCAGGAATTGGAGGCATCTCACAGACATGTATGTAATGTTGTGGAACAGACTCCTCGGTACACGCTCGCAAGCCATTTCATCTGCTCAATCTTGCAGTCAAATGCTGACAACAAGATGGATGAGGCAGCTATGGACTTTGGGTAAACAATGGGAGTTGAGAAGTCGAAGGCAAATGTAAGGAATAAACAAAAAAAACAAAAAAACAAACAAAAAACAGTTTTGCATCTGTGTCCAAAAAGCCTGCCGAAGGAGAATGTTTCAGCAAGATGCGTGAAAGAATAGAAACCTATTAAATATGGTTTTGCGGGGGGGGGCAGTTTGATAGCACACCTTTCAGCATGTTAGAGCAGCGTATAAAATGAGCACTCATTTCTCCTGCAGGAGCAATCCTTCTCAATTGTATTCCTTCGCCAGATGTGAAAGGACGGTCGCCGGCATTTGACAAAGAACCAGCCGGAATGTGCATTACAGGTTGTATTAAAGGGGACCAGATATTATTGAAAATGGGAGTTTGTAGAAAGAGGGATGAGAGAGAAGACTATCCTTCAGTTTAATTGCTTCAGAAAGAAAGCATTTTATTTTGGGGGGCACAACAATATTGAAAGGAAACAATGTCGTTGTTAATGTAGTAGTAGCTATGCTGCTCTTTTCCGGATGGCACCAGTCAATACTCCAGTGTCAAGTAAACGCGAGTAAGACGAAGCAAACATTTGCATCGACACCGTTTTTATTTTTATTTTATTTTTTTAACTACCATTAAGCCGCGAATGGATTTTGACAGAATCTCATTTGTTCATTTGCATTTAGATGCAGCAGAGCCAGAGCAACTCTAGCAAGTGAGGAATCATTTTATTTTCCTACTCAGGGCTCTTTCAGCTTTGATAATGAAAAGGGCTTCATTCTGAGAGAAGTATTGTGTTTTCCTTAACAAAATGTGAAGTTCAGCCATAGTTCATGGAATTGACTCCGTTTGAAAGCAGGTTTGCCATTAAGGCAGTGACGTCGAGAGAAGAAGGTCTCAGTTTGACGTTTGACTCAAACTATAAAACAAAAGGGCCAAAGCAGGTGCATGGAATTTTTCATACTTTTTTTTTTTTTTTTTTTTTTAAACATAATGTCAGATTAAATTGTCGTGCAGGTTAAGTTCAAGGGCCAGATCCATGAATTGCTTTGGTTGAGATAAAAGTCCTTCTCCGGGGGAGAACCGAAATGAACAAAAGCGTAGTGCCTTGTCCAATCAAGAAAGAAACATGTCAAGGTTGATATGATTGCAACAAGTCGGACTTTTATTTGCCTGGAGCTAAGGGGGAAGTGGCTGTTTTGGAAGCACAAAGACCGTTGGGATTTGGTGGATTGATGGATTGATCAACAAAACGTCACATTGAAGGGGAATGAGGTTTGGGTCTCGTCCCCTGTCAAACACTTCATTTTGACCTCATACGTGCAATTATAATGATCAAATTCCATACTAAAGTAAGATTTTTGACAGTTTGTCCACATATTTTTCCATGCCATCTTTCAGTGGATAAGACCATCTGGGCCATCCAAGAGCAGAACTGGGTCAGGGATATTATTTGGACCCATTATTTCCCGAAGTGCTTAAAAGGTTCATGAGGTTCAAGTTAAGACAGCCTAATATGAATTCCCTGCTTGCTAATTATATCATGAATAATTTGTAGCGCCCCACACTGTGCATGCACTGTATGTGTAGGTGGAAAAGATAATGGAAGGGGGTGGGGGGTTAAAGTAAAAAAAGAATGATCAGTCTTTGAGACAGTGCCGACAAGGTTAGTGATGTTCCTGCAAGCTAAAAGGGGCCGTGAAAGATGGGCCAGTCGCTCGGCTATACACGGTAATAAGACAAGATAATGCATAGCTTTCAAATGAAACCTTTATGAATTTGAAACCATTCGGCCCCTCGCTGCAAACTTCTTTCCGTTTGTCATTTCAATTGAAATGACCAGAAAAGGGCACTTTTTGAGCCGTCAAGTTGTTCTGTGATTGTACTTTGGATATTGCAAAGTATATTATTGTGCTCTGCGAAGCAGCGGTGTTTAGCGTGGCACCGGCCACTTCGGCAAGCTGCCCACAAGGAACTAACTCTCGTTTCCACCGAGTGGTACAGTTCAGGGAGCCAATCGCTGAGTTTGAACACAACCTATGATGAGAGGATACACATTGACTTCTGATTTGCACGGCCAGCACAGAGAAGCTAATATTTGAACATCCACATACTGCGAAATGAAGAGAATACACTGTTGGGAAGAAATGAATACAATTTCAGTTGAACAAATATTTCGATTGTGCCTCAAAACATTTGACATTACTTTTCTATTGTTAATGTTACCAGTCATGAGACATCAGCGTGTACGCTAGGCTACAATAGCATTTGTATAGTAAATGTGTTGGCTTTCTATTTTGCCTGCAAATTAGTTGAGGGACTAATTAGTCTGAAAACAGAATAACTTAGGAGGCAAACTGAGCTGTGAGGCAGCATCAACATTATTGTCGTCCCTTTGGGTGTTTTTGACACGGTTGCGGACACAGTGCAATTTGTTCCCTTTCTGCCGCTATCATTTTGCCATCCATCAAATTGCATCAATGCATCCTTGTGCTTTCTTCCTTGCCACCAACATTTGACTTTTTTTCCTCTCATCCTTTGGATGATTAATGGGAACTGTCTGCAAAAAAAAAAATCCCTTCTTCAACTGTTGCAATGTGACATTAAATCGGTTTGGAGTTCAAAGCGACAACTAAGTCAAGTAGCTGGAGGGGTTCCGAGTTTGACTTGCATTCACAGTCAAACGGAAATAAAATAGCAACATTTGAAGGATGCAATGGCTTGAGCTGACAAAACAAGAACATTATAGACAAAGGTACTGGACAAAAGGCCAACAGGAAAACAGGAGCTAAGAAATAGTGTGCCTCCACTTGTAGCCATAACAAGTTCCATACCTCTGAAAAAGCACTGTACACGTTTTTTAGAGTGCGTCTGCCAGACCTGCCTGACATTTTAGGCCAGTTTCATCTACTGGCAAGCATGTGGTTGAACAATTGGGTGGTTGTCACACTTGGGTGAACATCTGCTTCATATTGCGCTGTTCTAATAGATGTTTCAGAGGAGGCTGAATGGAATGTTTTGCATTAACATCAAGCACAACAATAGGACTGTGACTTTGTACAAAAGGCCAAGCCAGTGTGTGGGACTGTAAGGAGGGGCCTTATTACCAAAACGTATCCTCGTTTCTTGTGCGTTTGCATGCTTTGGAGCATCCGATGTCTTCTTATGTCTCTGAGATTTGGTGGCTAAGTGACAGATCGATGCAGCGAGTAAAGAATGACGGAGGTAGATGACACAGAGGGCAAAAGACTGTGAAGTTAGCAATGGCGATGTAGCGGAGGAAGCTGACAGCCCCCCTCCCCCGGAGGACAGGCAGGCCATTGTGCCAATCCAATGAGAAGGAATATCGTGCTCACCATGAGACGAGTGGAGCGCATCAGTGACACTTGGGTAAAGAGAGATGTGGACAAAGGAACGCATGCACGAAGAAAAGGCAGGCCCATTCTAGCGGATTAACGTAGACCGAGGAGATGATGTTGTCATCTGTCTGAGAATCGGATCAACAAAGCGAGTCCGAGGGTTGAAAGCATTTGAGGCTGGCGGATCAACACAGATTGTAACCACCCTTCTCCTACGTTAACGTTTGCGTTGGGGCCGGTCTGTCGACTTGCGTTGAGTTAATGTTCCCAAGCAAGCATCACGATTTTGAGGTTTGGGGTTCCCAAGAAAAAACAAAGCAACATGTATTTTAAATTTTATTTCATAATCCGACAAGGAACAAAAGCAGTCCGATAGCTCACCCTGTTTTCTGTCGGCCGGACTCCGGGATACAGTCATAAACACGCAACGGCAAAGCATTGACATCAGTCTCAGACATTACCTGCAGGTGTTACTCACCAGTCTTCACCCGCCTGGGAATGTCTGCCAAATTAATCTGTGTCAAAGAGATGAGTTTGGGATGAATTCATCTCGGACGGATGATGAGCAGCTCCCCATATGTTGGGCCCGTTGGGAACCTGAGAAGACGGATCCTTATTTCCCCCGAGGTGGTGGATGGTGGATCCTAGACCAAGAGAAGGCACGGTGGAACTAAAGGGAGTGGAGATAGAGAGCATTGATCTGCGGAGACGGCCGAAGATACGAGCAGACGCGTGCACATTCCCGCGCGAACACAGCTAGCAACAGTTCATATCCTTATCATGACCTATTTCTCCTTATGTTACCTGGTACTATGAAAGCTTCTTATCTTCAGTTTGCGAGGCGGCGAGGAAGGCGAGGTCAGCCATACTGAGGGAGATTGCCTTGAGTTCAAACCAACAGGAGCAGAACAAAGCAGCAGACAATGTTTTTCCGCAGATGCTCCAGAAATGAAAAAAAAAAAAAAAAAGAAAGAAATATGTGACATTGGATGACATACTTCTTTTGAACTCCTATGGATTCCCATCAAAGTTTTAATAGGTTCACGTAGGCTTTGGACTTTGTGTTTGTCATGCTGGAAGGGTGCAAAAGTGCAAGTTCAAGTGCAAGTGCATCCAAGTTGCAAAAGCGTTACCACCCACCAACAAGCGACTTCACACGATAATGTGACCTTGCTCCAATTAGTTATGCATGGTCGCCCATTAGCATTACTGTGAACTCAAAGTCATTTGCGACACAATAACGATGCGAAATGAACGCATCTTTATAAATGCAATTTGTTACAATGAGATTGCATTACCGGGGGGCATCCATATAAACCTTTACAATGCCAATAAATGTATTCATTGATATATTTATTGCCGAAAATAATAGACTTGGAGCAGCAGACCGAGGCGCTTCCTTTCCAATTTCTCTTTACAGCTGTTTCCAAAAACTTTGCTCACAAAGGGTGGGTGCGGATTGAGAACTGCGCCGCAGCTGTTTACGACGACTGTATTTGAAGTGATCATTTCAAACACCCCGCGGCCATCAGTGACACTGACTCACGATGATATAAATAATATGACTCTCGTCTGTTTGAGCAGGGCATGCTCAACGTCTCTGAACACTCCGAGGTTGTAAAATGGGAAAGGAATTGTATTCATCATTCAGCACTTCAACTACAGATGCGTTACTTTGCGTTGGGAAAACCCCTTCACCTTTGCAAACAATAAAGCGTACCCCGTGCTCATGACAGTAGCTTTCCAATGGCAGTGCAATACATTCAGTTTTGGCTGTTGCGTTGTTACAGCCGCGCAAAACGCTGGAAGTGAAATCATCCGTGCTTGGCTGCGAGTCACGTCTGCTTATGCTCAGCATCTCAAAGCCATATGGAAGATATCACACATCTTCAGCCTGCGTTGACGTGTGTGTGTTATTTATTTATTTCTTCTTTTTTTTTTAAATGAACTTTGTACTCCCCCAGCAATTAATCTTGCACTGAAATTGTATTTCCTTGGCTCCGAAAAAAATTATACTACGAAATTGCGACAACATTTCAAGGTAAATCTCATCAATGCAGTCGATCGCACAAGAACACCCAGAGGGTGCGTACGTGGGTGTGCGTGAGAGAGACTTCAACAAAATGATTTGATGGTACAGCTGGAGCGGCTCTTTTAACAATGCGTGCGAAATGAACAAAGGAAACTCACACGTATTGTTTGTTGAATGTACCATCAGATATAACGATGACATTTAGACCCATTTACGAAAACAGGAAATGACGTATATGCCGCCCGAATAAAAGAACATGAAAATACTTGACAACTTCATCCAGGTTGAACTCTTATCTATCTTCCCGTATTCCGTAGCGCTTCTCCTCATTTGGGTCCCGGGTAAGCGTGAGCCAATTCGAGTTGACTTTGAGACAGCCCGTCGCAAGGAAGGTTGACTTGAGAACAGGAGAGTATTTGTGTTGAAGATGACAGGACTGTACTCATTTAATCAGCGGTCAAGCGGTTGCGCTTCATTTCGGTGGATGACAAACATGTGCCCGG